AATTACTTTCTTACTTACTCATTCACCCACTCACTCACTGATGACATTGATTGTCTTAGTGGCATTCGCACTGAGAGACAATCCACTGGTTTCTCCTTCCCATTGGTAGCAAGAGGGAGTAGAGGGTGAGGGAAGGTGGTAGGCTGAGCCCCACTCGGTGAGATGAAACATGGAGGAAGGTGTGGGGAGGGGCACACAGTGAACCAACTTCTGCCTCCTTTCTGTTTCAGATACCCAATTACAATTTTCCGATGCAAGTGTTGCGGACGAGTAAGTCAGTCTGCTCAGGCAACTCGACTCACGATTTGGTAGTAATTGTTAAGAGTGGAATTTTGGGTTGGAAGAGGCGGCAACAGTTTCGTGAATACATGCAGCATCAGAGAGACCTCAATCCACACACCAAACTGGGCGTTGTGTTCAGCCTGGGATTACCACGACAGCATGGCGGACGCATCTTCAACCGGGATGGCCACGTCATCATACTGAGAGGACCATCGGGCGACTTGATAGAGGAATACACTAACAGAGGTAGCGAGGTGCTGCAGAAGATCGAAGAGGAGATAGAGAAGTACGACGACATTGTGCTGACCGACTATGAGGACACGTATTACAATCTCACGTGGAAGACGGTGGCCAATCTGCGTTGGCTGTCGGGCTTCTGTGACAAGGTGCACAACGACGTCTTCATGATACTGGATGATGACCACGGGATGAACTTGACGAGGGTGATGGACTTTCTGGCCTCCATGCCGAAGGCCAAAAAGAGGACATCTCTCTTCGGTTACATTGCACGATGGGATGGGGCTACGCGAAATCCCTTAAGCAAGCTGTTTCTCTCGCATCGCGAAGTGCCATGGAATTTGATGTGTGCCTATCCTCGTGGCTTTTGCCAAATAATAGGCACAGATATTATCGATGATATGGCGATTGGATCAGCCTACACGAGGCACAATTACCTGCATGAGGACGTGTATCTGGGCCTGCTGACATTCAAGTTGGGCATTCCCTTGCACCATGTGGACACCATGTTCAGCGAAAGCATGAAGCCCACACCGGGAGTTATGGTGGC